GGGGGGCTGTAACCCTCAAGATTGTTTTACTTGGTCAAGAGGCACAAACATTTTGATTGGTCTATCTCCGTCGGAGACGTTTCTGGACAGATACTGAGCCTTCCCTGTTTTAACCCATAATTTGATATTTTGCCCTTAGATTTGAAATTTTCTTGAAAATGATTTGTTTGCGACAGTTTTAATAGCTATAGGTGTGATCTGCAGCCTACAATATGCAGTTTGACCCCCAAAGCAGTGCATCTGTGTGCGGGAGTACGCCTCCGAATAGTTCCTGGGTGCTCTCTGGAGACACCTCCGAATATCTTCTGTCTCATCCTTGAGGTTTGTCTCCAAATCTCAGAAAGCGAAATTGGCGTCTGTGGTGTTATACGGGGTGCTCATTGCGGATGGGAGCGGGTCGGGTCGGGTCGGGTCGGGTCGGGTCGGGCGATCGATTTGTGCCACGATAACCGCTTTACGCCCTCAGTCTGGCTAGCAAACCGACCTGACCAGACCCAATCGTGCCAATGATGGACACCCGGTATAACAGTTCTTCTTCTTCCTCGTTCTCGATGACAGCAGCTAGACAGTCAGTCCGATGTCGCGCACAAACTGTGCAGTCCGCTTCAAATCTGAGAGACTGCCATAGAGCTTTCTCCCAAAGGGAGTCACATTCTGCCACGTCTGTATAAGAAGGGTGGCGTAGCGCGGGAAGTCAAGTGCTGAAGGATGGTTATGGTTGGCATCCTCTTGGTTGTGTCCACATTCACCGCACATTTGCGGACTCTCCCACTTTTAATTTAGTGTGTATAACAAAAATCAACCCGACCCCCCTTGTGGGAAGAATTTTTATTGAGTATGTCCACCTCTCTGCTGGCATGTTGCAACCTTCTCAGCCCAGGTTGATTCTGAAAGGCAACGTAGACCCAGTCTGTGTCCTAAATCATCCGAATTGTTTCACTGTGGATGTAAAATGTAAAACGATTACAACCCCAACCCCCACCCCCACCCCCACCCCAATCACAATTGAGTACCATAACGGTTAGTTGAGTCTCCAGAAGTGTCTTCAAGGGACGCAATCGGGATAATTTGTGCACGCAAAGTGTAATACAGAGTTACTTGCCTCATACAGAACTGCCCGTCGGCAATTTTTTGTTGGACGTCTCCGGTCGATGGTAGCGATCCCAACCCCCCCCCCTGTTGGACGTCTCCGGTCGATGGTAGCGATCCCAACCCCCCCCCCTCTGTCTGTCTCTCTCTCTGTCTGTCTCTCTCTCTGTCTGTCTCTCTCTCTGTCTGTCTCATTCTCTCTGTGCCTCTCCTCCCATTTCCCCTGTTTGCCAAATCTCTCTTGTTATCACCACCCTCCCCCCCTTTTTTTTCCCTCGACACAAATCACCATTACTTTTAGATCTCAAAAACGATCCGTGGTAGCTCAAATTAAAAGAACAAAATTGTAATTATTTCTCTTTGTACCCGTATCCCTCCTCAACAGGACCTGCCCACTTTCCCCCGCCACGTGCGATTGGTCCACGTTCAATGACCCCGCCCCCAACGCCCACGAACTGACAGGTGCTCTAGTGGGCGGGCCCGGCAAGAACGACGACTACGTTGACAAGAGAGGCGACTATATCAAGAATGAGGTCACCACTGACTACAACGCCGGGTTCCAGAGTGCTCTGGCGGGTAAGAAACGGTTATTAAAGAATAACTAGCTGGGCCCCTTTTCGATGAAAGGAAGGATCGGAGCATTAACATCAACTGAAAGTCATTGGTAAAGAAAAGAAAACATGAAGCTAGATCTATACGGGTCGCACACTTAAAATAGTACTCAGTATTGCGCAACAATGCGCGATAGTATCGAACGGAAGTAACCCTTGAAATAAACAAACTTGGCGGATTTTCTAAAATTGCAGAGACAGAAGCGTCGGCCTACAAAAGTGATCGGCGAAATAAAGAAATTTAGCTTTTTGCAGCAAGACTGTCTCAAAACTGAAAAAACCAAGGCGTCATGATCTGGAGAATATATTAAAGAATCTTTTGGCGAAAACCGCATGTCGATCGATGCAGCCATTAAAAAGCCTTTTGAATAGCTTAAAATTGAAAAAGAAAACATGTGAAAACACCAAAACTTCCTCAGTGTACGCACAGTTAACGCTTGGAATTCCCTACCGGAAAATGTGGTGTTTGCACCATCCTTGAATGCTTTCAAGAATAGGATTGACATGGTCTGGAAGGCACATAAATTCTCTATGAACCTAGATTGGTTTCAAACTGCCAGATCCATGAGTCATGAGCACCAACCTGCAGTTAACAGAGTGTGAAAACAACGAGCAGGAAGGAACAAGCAATGAAAGCAACGAACGGCTGATAGGCAACTAGAAAACAACGAGCCGTAAGCAACAAGCAATGAAAGCAACGAACGGCTGATAGGCAACTAGCCTATAGATAAGTACGGTGATTTGTCCACCAACCTTATTATAGTAACCAGCGCCCACTTCAGACAATAGATAAGTACGGTGATTTGTCCACCAACCTTATTATAGTAACCAGCGCCCACTTCGGCTGCCTCTAAAAGACTAACATTATTTATAACTTGTACGGTAATTGACAGCCCTTATTTTTTGTAGCCTGCGCCCACTTAGAGACTAACATTAATTCCGAACGGCTCCTCTTCATGTATATGTCTCACGACGCGTTGGGATCAGGCGTTCGTTAAATTTTGGGCATATGGAGATTTTCATAAAGCTTGTTCATTTGCCTTACTTCAGATTAAAAAAAAATACCCATTTATCTTGAACACACGTCGAGATATTTGTGATTGAAGGAGAAGGGGTCGTCTGGTTTCAGAGGTAAAATTAGTAAGAAAATGACCACCAAAGTTTGGTGACCCCCATAGCTCAAAGATTCCTGGGAAACTTAAAACTTACATTTTCTGTGCCTTTTAAAATCTACACATAAATGTGTTTTGAAATGGACATAAAAGGTGTTGAATACCCCCCCCCCA